AAGAAATCTCTCAAGAAATGCTGAATAACCAGGGGCAGGTTTGTATCTGATTCACTTGGGGAATTGAACGTGAATTCCTATAAAGGATTATGTACGGTCAAGCAAACATTTCCTGGCAGTGCTATAGACACTTGTTCCTTGGGGAAGTGACAAATTCCCACAAAGTCTTTTTCATAGGATGACCCCCAGTCAAGTCCCCACAAAGTTGGATCCAGGAAACCCTCAGCCAGAGTTTTAGTCTCCGGAAAACCTTTCTTCCTAGCTAAGTTTGGTCTCAAGAGGAGTCTTTGAGGAGTTCTGCCAAAGTAAAATACCTCTCCAACAGATCAGTGACAAGATTTATTTCCCCAACAAACGACGAGATTCCCCAGCTTGATTTTGCCTCTCAGACTATCACAAATCAAAGGGACCATAACTCCTCTCCCCCATTAGACTGTTCTACAATCACCATTGAGTTGCTGCAAAACCTGGGAGGAAACCAGATAACAATTAACTTCTTTATCCTCGAAAAGTCGTTAATATCCTTTCTCTCTGATCAAGAGATAACTCTCTAGTAGAGCAACAAACAACTAAAACTCCTGAACTCTTTTCCCCAAGTAGGAATCAACACCCTCCACGGAGTTTTCTTCTCAAGCAAAATCAACATTCCCCAACAGATTTTTCCTCAAAACAACAAAAATGGGAATCCCCAACATAAACATTCTAAAATAAGGTCTAGAGAGGTGCATACTCTTCATCCCCAACAACAGTCCGGGATTTAACTCCCCAAATCTCCCCAACACTTGTCAAGGATTTATTTTCCAAGACAAAGTTACATTTCAACAACATTCACAGCATATGCATATGAAACGCAGATAGCACAATCTCATTTATTTTGAGAAACATCATTACACCATGACATTGCATACAACTAACTCTTTACCTTTTCAGGAAAAGATCAACAGATAAGTGTCATTAATTATCTGTAAACTTATCCAAGACAAAATCAAGCTTCGATTTCTTTATCTTTTGGAGTAGCAATCGTCAAAGGTTCCTTCATTACCTTTTGGAGTAGTAATCGTCCCAGATTCCTTCATTATTTGTTGGGGTAGTAATCATCCAAGATTCCTTTATTGTCTTTTGGAGTAGCAATCGTCAAAGGTTCATTCATTACCTTTTGGAGTAGCAATCGTCCCAGATTCCTTCATTATCTGTTGAGGTAGTAATTGTCCAAGATTCCTTCATTATCGGTTGAGGTAGTAATCGTCCCAGATTCCTTCATTATCTTTGGAGGTAGTAATCATCCGAAATTCCTTCATTATCTATTGAGGTATTAATCGTCCAAGATTCCTTCATTATTTGTTGATGTAGTAATCATCCCAGATTTCTTCATCATCTGTTGAGGTAGTAATCATCTAAGATTCCTTCGTTATCTGTTGAGGTAGTAATCGTCCAAGATTCCTTCATTAACTTTTGAAGTAGCAATCATCAAAGGTTCATTCATTACATTTCAGAGTAGTAATCATCCAGGATTCCTTCGTCATATATCACAATCAAGCTTCATACTTACAGATTAATACCTGAAACAAGACAAGACAATTATCTGTGAAAAAATTGATTGTAGATCAATTCCCGAAACAAGACAAGGTGACTATCTACATGACAAAAAATTCCTTCAGACTTCTATTGGTTCAGTTTAAATTGATCAATGGTTTATCCTGATTCTGTCCCGGTAGACGCTTTCTCTAGTTCAGATAAATCATTCCAAAGATTTATTCTGATTCATTCCAGTTAAAGAATATTCAAGACCTCTACTGGTTCAGTTTAAATCGATCAATGGTTTATCCTGATTCCTTTCTGTTAGACACTTTCTCTGGTTCAGATAAATCAATCCATAGATTTATTCTGATTCTTTTCCAGTTGAAGTCAAGTTTAGACTTAGTCTAGTTTCTGTCAACAATCACTTTTGGGTGGCATATATAAGCCCATCTCTGACAACTCTCCACCATCTCTCCAAATGGCATCTTTAAGCCAATTCCCTACACAATCAACCACCACATCATCAAGTGCAAATTTCTGGGCACTCTAGTGTTCAATCATCTTCCACCTTCAAGTCACGAATGGAAGACTCGTCAATCTAACTCTTCAGGTTTAAGAATATTGAACAGGGGCAGCTGTTGTACCCCAAAATTTTCCCTCTCATTTCTCACAATGATTCTCAAAATTCAAGCTTCTACAAGCACAATTGGATTTTCCAGTATCAAGTTAAAGAGGAAACTGTTAAAAAGGGGGAAATAGATAAAAATAATATTTTTGACAAAATTGAAGGAAAAACAAGTTTCCTTCGATTCACATCATTCGATTGGACTTCTGGCCTCCTTCGATGCAGGCTTAGCTTGCATCCTTCGATTGGGCGTTGGCCTCTGACACACTGGCTTTAATTCACAAGGTAGGAGCTTCATGCATGCAACCTTCGATTGCATCTTTGGCCTCACATGGTTCACAATGCAACGGCTGCCTATATGCTTTCTTTGATTGGATGTTTGATGCCTGCATGCCTATGTTGATTAGATAAATATTTCCCTCCATGCTTGCTTTGATTCACAAAGTGGATGGCTAGCTTCATACAACTTTCAATTGAGCCATAACTTTCTTCTTGCATGCAAGAAGCGCCAACCAGGCCAGCAGGCACAAGGCAAAAAGCCTCATGTATCCTCCTTCAATTCCAAGGCAAAAAGTCTCTTGATGATATCCTTTGATTGCATAATTTTCCTCCTGCGTGCCTCTTTCATCTGGGCATCTTTTCTTCCTGCATGCCTCTTTTGTTTGGCATGTGTGAAACAACCGGCTGAAAATCATCAAATAATGAAGTCGCCATCGAACGTCTTTTATCCCACAGGAAGGGAAAGGTAAACATCGAGAAAACCTGAGGAAGGAGAAGTCACGGTCTTGCGATCGAGAGATCGGGTAAGGGAGTCTGTTACGCGATGGGAAGGTATTAGCACCACACGCGTCCATAGTACTCTATGGTATCCACTATTGTTATCTATCTTATGGGTGTGTTTAATCTATGGTTACTGTTTACTATACTACTGAAGGGAGAATGCATGCAAAAGAAAGGGGAAAGAATGTAGAGAAAATAAAATTGTGCTCGTTCGGGCCCTACCCTGATGCCTACGTATCCCTTTTAAGAAATCAGAGCACCCGTAGTTCGGCTCACATGTTTTTCTTGGTTTGTATTTTTTAATGAACAGTATTAATTTCGCCTTCTTCCGCAACTCGACCTTTAGAGACTTACGCGTCAGCACAGAAGTGAATTAACATGCTCTTTTGAAAAAGTTTTGGAGAAAAGGTGCTTGGGCGCACAAAAAGGTTTGAATTGGTTTGTGTTTTTTTAATGAACAATATTAATTTCGCCTTCTTCCGCAACTCGACCTTTGGAGATTTACGCGTCAGCACATAAGTGAATTAACATGTTCTTTTGAAAAAGTTTTGAAAGAAAATCCCATAGGCAAAAGGAGTTTGTGTTGGTTGGTGTTTTTGCTTGTAGATAATAGCAAGTTGACCTCAAGAAAGAGATTTTAGTCATTTCTCTACTTATTCATGAAATAAGTCTTTGAGACTTGAACCACACCAAAGCTTAGAATAAGAGAACAATAAGGTCGAGAAGAAACCCGCTTATCATCTCTCATACTTAACGAAGATATGATTCTCGTCAGTAATTTTTTTTAAGTATTTTGGAGTTTGTAAGAAAAAAAGAAGTTTTGTTTTGAATGGATATGCAAAAGGGGAAAGAAAAGTCAAAGGGAGACTAGCCTATTCTAAACCTAATGTTATCATACTTCACATGATCTCTAGGAAGCAATAAATGCGGAGAGAAAGTAGAAAGAAAATATACTAAACAAGTACTAGCCCGTAGAGCAAAGCAAAAAAAAAAAGCAAAGAAACCCGACGATCTTCGCGAAAGCTTCACCATTCAAAGAAAAGAGTTAAAAATCAAATGCCCAGAATAAGTATCGGCGCATCATCGATTGCGAAAATAAATCTCAATCAAAGTCTCAGGCGCATCCGCATAATAAACCTGCATAAGACTCAAATCTCACTAAACAAAGGTGAATCGTGAATTTCAAATATAATTGGATAATCAAAATTTAGTTCCTAAAACTAAAATAAAAAATCTAAAAGTTTTTATTGATTTTTTTAATAATTTTTTAGCAAAGAAAAATATATAAAAAAACTATAAGCAGAATCCTAAATCTTAATAAGCAAATATGAGAATCAGGGGGGAAGGTGTAAGATTGAATCAGAGGTTATGGTGCAGAAATCAGGGTGTTAGGCCCAAATAGGAAATCAAGCAATAGTTTTTTTTGTTCAATTGTGATCAGGCTTTCAAAAAAAATGTGACATGGGCTTGAGGGAGCACAGCTTCGTACCAGACCCAACAACACTATGATACCATTTTTCCTTCTACATTCTATTATCTCAATGTTTAGAAAATAATACAAAAAAAAACAGGAAAATTAAGAGAGGGGTATACATGAATTTAGGGTATAGTGTGGCCCTTCATCTTCCTTTGAGAAATAGAATTTTCTCTTCCTTCTCTCCAATCGCAGCGCAACTTCTCCCTCTCATCTTCTTTGATTCACATTTGGTTTTCTCCATCTCCAATCAATCGTCCCCACTCCGGCTTCAACATCTTCGTGAGCGATCTTCGTCCACCTCGAATTCTGTTTTCTACCGGTGTAATCAGTGACTTGTAGACATCAAAGGCACTAGCAGAAATCTCAAGGTTTGATTTTGTTTTCACTTCATCTCTCTACTTCTGATTCTGATTCTGTTACTGCTCGATTGCGCATGTTGTGATAAGCATGGTATTATGGTGTTTGTAGAGAGTAAAAGGTAAAGGATGATTCATGGCACGGGAGGTTGAAGGAGATGCGGTTTGTAAAAGATTGTAGAGAAGATGAACTTTTGCAATACGAAGTTGTTGATCCCGTTGACAAAGGTTGAGGCAATCGCAGATGAAGGTGATGCTGCAATTTGATTGCAGGAAAAAAATCGGAAGACCTGAAATCCACACTAACGACGAAGACGAAGGATATTGTTGTTTCTTCTCAGGTAACTCTGCTTTTATCTTTGTTCTTCCTCTTTGCTTCTTCTTCACTTTGTTTACCTCCCTCTTTTTCTTTCTTTTGTGATTTCCGAATCTTTGGTTTCCGCAATTTCAACTAAGCGTTGTTATTGCGCAGAAAGAAAGATGACGAAGATGATTGAAGGTGCGATGTTGTATAATTGAGGATGAGGAGGAAGTTGGTGTGCGTTGTTGTGGAAGAATATGAAGTTCAGGGACGTAAAATTTTGTGTTGCTCGTTTGCAGGGGATGCGATTATTGATGAAGAAGGATATGAGGAATTGCAGAAGATTGATGATGATAGAAGCGAGGTGCATCGAGAAATGAAATTGAAGGTTCTGTTTTGGGTGATTTGTGTAGCAAGATGCTATGGAGAAGATGGAACTCAGAGACAGAGAGAGGGAAAGAAATAATTGGAGGTGTGTGTGAAACTGGAGAAAATCATGGAGAGACGAATGATGGATGAAGATGATTATTTCATAGACAGTTGAAGATTGAAGATAATGGAGAGGAGATTCAATATTGATGAAGGTGAGTTTTTCTCTAGTTTTTTAATTGTGAATTTGCCTTCTCTCTTGAATAATGATCCCCATTCCTCCTTTTCTGGTGTTCTGTTATATAGATTTTCTGTTGAGAAGTTTGTTTTATGGTTAGAAAAATTTTGTTAGGGAACTAGTTATGGTAGTTGGAAGGTTATTGGTTTTCTGTTAAGTTTGTTACAGAATTCAGAAGCTAGCTAGAAATTGTTATAAGGTTGGTTGAAATTTGTTAGAGGGTTATTAGAAGGTTATTTAGGAAGCTTAGTTATAGGGTTTTTAGGAGAATATGGTTTGGGAAAGTTGTTAGAAATTCTGTTATTTCCAGTTAAACAGTTAGAAAGTTAGTTATGAAAACAGTTGGGATCGTTGAAACTGTGAAGAAAACTGTTAGTTGGTTAGAAAATCAATTAGGGATCTGTTTGTTAGTTTCTATTAGCAGTTAGAAATTAGTTTTGTTTTCTGGTTTTCTGTTAGTGAGCTGGAATATTATGATATTTTCTATTAAAAACTCGATTAATCATCTGGTTTTGATAAAAATGTTAGTTGCAGTAAAAAAAGGAATGAGATATGTTAGTAAAAAAACTGGAAAATTAGTTAGTGAAATGTTAGTTAGAAAAGTTAGTTAGGGTTAGAAATAGAACCTGTTAGTTTTAAAACTGCTAGTAACTTGGATAGGTGGTAAAATTGTTAATACAAAGTGATGGTATTAATTGTTAGGAGAATGCTACTGTTAGTTCTGTTAGTAGTAAGGGCTAGGTGGTTTATTTGGTTTGGAACTGTGAAATGATTTGAAGAATGATGCAGAGCAACTAGGATGCAAGAACTGGTTCTGTTTTCAGTTATGAGCTCATTAATGGAAATGTTAGTTGTCAAAGATAGGGTGTTAGTTAAAAATCTGTTAGAGGCTATTATTCAAGACATTTAAGAGGTTAATTCAAAAATGATCAGGAGGTCCTGGAAATCGAAAATGAAAATCATGTTAGTGACAACTCACTGTTATCTACCGTACTTAATGTCAAATCTATTTATCAAAAGAAGGATTGCAAAATGTTAGTAAAATTGTGAGTTAATGTTAGAATAAACCTTGTTAGTAGGTTGGTTGAAAGATCTGAAAATTAATTGGAGGTCTTGTTTGAATATTTATGAACTATTAAATTCTAAAAGTGTGAAACTGTATTTAACTGAATTATGTGATCTGTTTCACAAAGGTATGCAATGCTGACTGGATTTTTGTTGGATTGATCTTATGTGCAGGTTTGGTTGAGTCTAAAATAGGGAAGCAGGGTAGTTTGAAGAATGTAGCAGATCGGTTCATTTGGGGCATGAATATCGAGAAATACATGAATATGAAGAACTTTGGCATAGCATGGTGGTGAATCATGTAATTCGAAGGATAGTCAAACACTTGGCATGGTGATTGGAAAATAGAATTTGTATTAAGAAAGATTGGAGATTGGGTTTAAGTTTTTTTGATAATTTTTCATGTAATATTTTTTAGTGTAGTTTTTCTATGGTTTTGTAATGGTTTCTCTTGAATTTAATTGAATCGACAAAAATAGTGTATAGAATTTGAAATTGGAATGACTTATGGTGAATTTGTAATGAATGAACTTGGAATTTTTGTTGAATGTGGAATGAAGAGGTTTTGAAATGGTGAATGGAACTTGAATATTATAGTGTGAACTATAAATGGCTTTGTGCTTGTAATTTCTCTTGAAACCAAGGTAATGCAGTATGATCTTGCATACAAATGTAACTTTGGGACCTCTTGAATCAAAATGACAAATTATCAAGGGTGAAAACTACTTTCTTTTCATTTGATTTTGAGTTTCCCGAGAAAGAAGTGTCTTCCTTTCTTTTTGAATTTGATATCCCAAGTCCTTCATTGACCTTGTGTTTGTGAAACCCCAATGTCTCGCATTCTATCAATTTAGATGAACTCCTCTGCTTGAATATCTTCAAATGAACGAATATAGGTTTCCTTAAATCAACTTGAATGAATCCATTCTTAGACGTCTGCATGTCCTTAGTTCAAAAACCCTAATATTCCATACAAAGCTTTTTAGATTTTGATCTTAAAGCATTTAAATGAAATCCGAAGAAAATAGATTGTACCGCAAGTAAGCCAATCGACCAGATGAAGAGCTTTGCATTATAAGGCATACAAACCTTAATTCGGGAAGAAGGTCCAACTGAATCTTCTTCTCTAGAATAGAACTGTTTCCCACATAATTAGAGATTCAAGCAATGCTTTTCTTCTTACTTGCCAAAGATATATCAATTGAAACCCTGGTTATTCATGGACGATATCCCCTGATGATAGCCTTGTCTGATAATCACAATTTCACAGAGAAACCTCTCTTAAATGGTACATTATTTAGAGAAATAAACCCTAATCAAAGGATGACGTTGAGCACAAGGAGATAATGAATGCCTGATTTAGTAGCCCTTAGATGACCTCGTAGAAAAACTTGGAAATGAACATGGGAATACAGAAAGAAATATGACCAAGATGGCCATGACTAAAAAAAAGCTTAATGAACCTCGATTGATGAAATGTTGACAAGCACAAACTTGGTGGAGAAAAACTCTGACTCCTGTCTTGAATGCATCTGAATAAGTAATAACCCCCTTAAATTAAAGAGAACGGAACCCTCAATAAGAATAGGTTGCAACCTTAATTCCACATTTCACTGCTTGAAGGATAATCAGAAGAATCAGGCTTTATTGGATACGAACACCTTAAATCTTGTGAAACCCTAATATCGCACAACCACTGAACTTTGGATCTCAAGCTCTTCCGAATGAAAATGCATGTTAATGACCTAATAGAATATATACTGATGAATGCAAGAGTCTAACCCAAAGAGAAGAAATTAGGAGGGCAAATTTTGGGGTGCAACAGCTGCCCCTATTTAATCGCCTTCAACCTGAAGGTGAGATTGGTGTTAGCCTTTTGAACTTTCAGGGTGGAAGAAGATTAAATACTTAAAGAACCCGAAAATTTTCACTCCGAAGCCAGTCAGGAATACATTATATTTTTGGTTTTTTGTATTTTTGTATTTTCTTTTTTTTTGCTTTTTGGGTTAAAGGGGTTACCAGGGATAAATGTATGTCGAACCAGGGTTAGACACACAGAAAAAAGATATCAAAAGATATATGCCCGAAATCAGTAGCAGACATATGAAAAAAGGTATCAAAAATACATATCCAGGGTCGGTAGCGGATACGTACGAAAAAGGTATCAAAGATACATATTCGGGGTTGGTAGCGGACACGTACGAAAGAGACAGACCGAAGAAAGCTTTTACCAAGATATCAAGAACACATGTATGGGGTTGTTAGCAGACATACGAAAAAGGTATCAAAAATACATATCCGGGGTCGGTAGCGGATACGTACAAAAGAGACAGACCGAAGAAAGATCTTACAAAGATATCAAGAACACATGTTTGGGGTTGGTAGCAGACATACGAAAAAGGTATAAAAAATACATATCCGGGGTCGGTAGCAGATACGTACGAAAGAGACAGACCGAAGAAAGCTATTAAAAAGATATCAAGAACACATGTCTGGGGTTGGTAGCAGACATACGAAAAAGGTATCAAAGATACATATCCGGGGTCGGTAGCGGATACGTACGAAAGAGATATCAAAGATACATATCTGGGGTCGGTAGCGGATACGTACGAAAGAGATATCAAAGATACATATCCGGAGTCGGTAGCAGATACGTACGAAAGAGATATCAAAGATACATATCCGGGGTCGGTAGCGGATGCGTACGAAAGAGATATCAAAGATACATATCCGGAGTCGGTAGCGGATACGTACGAAAGATATATCAAAGATACATATCCGGAGTCAGTAGTGGATATGTACGAAAGAGATATCAAAGATACATATTTGGGGTCGGTAGCAGATACGTACGAAAGAGATATCAAAGATACATATCCGGGGTCGGTAGCGGATACGTACGAAAGAGATATCAAAGATACATATCCGGGGTCAGTAGCGGATACGTACGAAAGAGATATCAAAGATACATATCCGGAGTCGGTAGCGGATACGTATGAAAGAGATATCAAAGATACATATCTGGGGTCGGTAGCGGATACATATGAAAGAGATATCAAAGATACATATCCGGGGTCGGTAGCGGATACGTACGAAAGAGATATCAAAGATACATATCCGGGGTCGGTAGCGGATACATACGAAAGAGACAGACCGAGGAAAGCTCTTACAAAGATATAAAGAATACATGTCTAGGATCGATAGCAGACACATAATGGGAAAGAGACCGGAGGAAAGGACTCTAACCAAGGATATCAGGAATATACGTCCAGAGGAAAGGGTGTATAACCAAGGATATCAAGAAAAATATGTCCGGTGGAAAGGACTCTAACCAAGGATATCAAGAAAAATATGTCCGGAGGAAAGGGCGTATATAAGGAAAGAGACCGGAGGTAAGGACTCTAACCAAGAATATCAGGAATATACGTCCAGAGGAAAGGGCGTATAACCAAGGATATCAAGAAAATATATCTGGAGTAAAGGACACATATAAGGAAATAGGCCGGAAGAAAGGACTCTAACCAAGGATATCAGGAATATACGTCTAGAGGAAAGGGCGTATAACCAAGAATATCAAAAAAATATGTTGATCTTTAAGAGTTGCAAATATGCAAGAACTACAAAATCCATCAGGCCAAAGGCGGGGTGTAATTCTTCAAGAGTGGCAATTATCTGAATTACCACACACCAAGTATGGATACTTAAGTATTTGAGAAGCAAGAAAGGCTATACACTGACTCTTACTCGTACTCTAACGACAAAGTCAAACATGGGCAAAATAACCAAAGACTTGCAAG